TAAAGTAAGATAGACTGCTGAATTATCACAGATGAATATAATAAAAAAAAAACACTTTCGAAAAAGAAACTGAGCTTCAGTAGTGACCTCTGTACTTTTTGTACACAATGCATGTACATTTGGTAATCCTATAACATTCTTTATAACACTTTTTTAGTTTTGCTCTGGTTGTAGAACATTTCTTTTTCATTTTATTTTATTCAAAAAAGCATTGCAGCTCGTGTTTCCATAAAAAAAATAATTGTACAAGTAAACGGCAGACCTACATTATTACCATACATTTAGCTAGACACAACACAACCTGGTGACACCCACTCACATCTCCTTCACACAATCTGCTGACAAACCAACCTGGAAATAAGTATTTTAGCTCCGCACGTGGCACTCTGCCATGCTCTCTCTGTGTGTGTGTGTGTGTGTGTGTGTGTGTCAACTACAACAAGGTTACAGAGTTTATGTGGTTAAGGGAAAAAAAAAAACACACACACAGAGTGCTACACTTTCTTCCTCCTGGTCGGCCACACCTACCTGAACTGTCGGGCAGTCACCCAGCACTAGGGGCCGGGTGGCCCCGGGTCACCCACGTGAGGGAGGAGGGGGTCAGGAGACAGGCACCTAAGTGGGCGTTTTTCCACCAATGTTATGTTACATGGCAATCACACCTGCTGTGCGTCAAGGACCGGTCAGACTGGTGTTGGGGGGCCTGAAAGGAAGCGGACAGTCGTCACCGTCGTCCGGTCCCCCCACTCTGCAGACGACGACGAGGTAGAAGGGGAAAAAAAAAAAAAAAGAGCAGGGCAGGAGTAGAGAAATTACAATTTCGTCTGTACATGAAAAGAAATCCTGGATACTTTCACCTTATTCCCAGTTTCCAATTGCCCCCCCTCCTTTGCTTTCCTGCATTAATATGTATACCACGAGGCACTTCTTCAACCTCTTGTCTTCTCGTTAAACACTCCAGAAATAGCAGAAATAGCCAGGAAAGATAGGTAGGTCCCCGACTCCTTGAGGAAAAATATTAGAATACGGGATGGTTTATATAGGCAGTGAAGCAAAATGGCGACTTTATTACGAAGGAGGAGTAAAAAAAAAAAAAAAATCCTTGCGCTGGCATGGAGCTAAAGGGAGGCACAAAAATATGTTTAGTGCAGTAATGTCGACGGCTGCGAGACAGTTGGTTAGAGTAAAAGAAAACGAAGCGAAGGAAAGCGAGCAGAAACGCCAAATCTCGGTCGGTTTTGGTATACTCCTCGGTTCCTTACCTCGGGATTATTTCGGTTTTTTTATACGGATATTATCTCGGCGGCCGTGTACAGTATTACAGTAATGTGTGTTAGGTCATGCGCGTATCCACTCCACCTTTGACAGTTGCAACTACAGTCTTGAAGCAACTTGCAAACTCTCGCGTTATTATTATCTATATCGAGCAGATTAATATTGGGGGGGGGCGGGGGGGGGTTCTGTCTAATGAACTCGCTGCGATGCCGGCTCGTGCTGCTCCTCCGACGTAACGGCGCTCGTTCCTGACGAAAGAAAAAAGGGTCAGGGCTTAAATTCCTTAAATCAACCTTCAGCCAAGTATTTTAATCTAGTTGCTGCTAAAATGATCTCTCTCCCCGTGCGTCCTCCAGCCTATAGCAGCTTTACCAGATCAGACAGAGAAAATGATTACAGTCCCAGTCAGAGGTAGGCTATTCTTTGTCATTGCCTTACTGTAGGCCACTGCTTTAGTCAGTCACTGCAAGTAGCTCTCTCCAAAAAACCACTGGAATAACAAATATGCCCCCCAAAATTGTGCTTAACCTATAGGCTACTGAGTTTAAAGGCTCCAACACAGCAGCCACACTCCGTAAAACTATGCTTTTATAACAATCTATCACACAATCCCAAATATTCAAGGTCAATATTAAGCTATTAATCCTATTGATGTTAATAGCAGCTCAACAATACACAGGCCTGCAGTCAATTCAATATTGGATTTTTAATTGCTGTGAGTTGACTACAGGCAATGTGCACACTCCTGGCATCCCCCCCCACCCTCCCCCTTTCTCCTGTTAAGTCAGCTAATAATAAATGTTTAACATATGTTGTGAAGCCACATCTTCCTTGTGCCACAGCTCACATTAAATGAATCATTCATGGTGTCGTTGCCACCTCACTCGGTTTCAGTAAAACAACAGAGGGTCTCTCTCTTAGTCTTTGATTGGTGCCAGTCATCATGACCTAATATTTCCTATCAGTGGGAATCATCTGAAACCATGATGTAATGTATGTGTAAAACAAAAAAACCTGTTTCTTGGTTTTGCCAGTGGAGGGCAGGAGAGCCTCATTTTTGGGCCATGTTTATTGGGATGTATCTGCCCACAGTGTGCTTAAATAACTTAAAACTCATTTTGTTTAATGAATTTCACTTTTAAATCAAATAGATTTCCACATGTTGTAACACAAAAGGTACACAGCGGAGAAGAGTGGGCCTATAAAATATTTCAGGAAGATAGGAGCAAAACAAAGCACTAATTAATTAAATTACTTTAAGGCAGCATTAATCTCTTAATTACAACTTAATGTTTTTGCATGTCTTAGTTTACTGGCCATGAAAAATATATCATCACTGATCATTATGTAACAACAATATTATATATGTGAACCATTTCATTTGTTGTTGCAGCTGACCCTATCAAGGTTTGACTGCACTAATCTTCCACTAGGGGGCAGTGTTGCCCTGTGATTAGGAACAGCAAATATGGAAACTTGGGCCGCTGTAGCATCTTTTCCACTTTTAAATGTGTAGTTGATTTTCATGGCAACGTCATGCATGTTGATACATCTTTGGACTGCTTTGATCTCAGTATACTTGAGTGGACGATCAGCTGGTCCACGACACACAGAGCCGGAGGGTTGTTTCACTCTCGCCGAGTGATAACCGCCATTCATCTGCACAGTGTGTCCCAACTGATAAAGTCCTGCTCTCTTTAATGGCTGCTGATGAATAGTTCACACAGGGCCTTGTTTGACCCGTGATTAATTCCTTTTACGATTGTGGTGATTTATGTTCCCACTCGTCCTCTGCTGAACGAGCAAAAGGCCACTTAATGGTTTTAAAAACTGGCCAGGTGGAGTGGTTTGTGCCCTAAAAGGCTATTGAAGAGTCCATCCAGCAGTTGATTGTGTTATTTATCTTTTGACCTTTCCAGTAAAAGTTGGGTGAGCACACGCACTTTTTCCATACTGACTTGCTTTGTAGTGGTATACTGAATATTAATACTTGGGCGCTGGCCAGAAAAATTACAGCCTTCATCTGTTTATGCCACTGAGCAACTCAGCAGCTGCTTGAGGGCTCCTCACCAGTAGCTGATGAGAGAGGACAGGAGTGTTTCTCATTCTATTTCAGTGCTGTCAGAGGACTGAGATCCAGCTGATCAAAGCCACGAGCAGATAACGATAAACAAGCTGAATGGAGAGTCTCAGCGTTTTGAGTGTTTTAGAGAGAAATGACGAAAGACAAGCTTTCAAAAAAGAAACGACCCTTAATAATAAACAGCAACCAATTAACTGCACCATCCAACCATCTGCTCCACAGGTTTATTCAGGGCTGAGAAGGCCACTGTTCACTGAGTCTGTTTATCATACATGTGCCTTGTTATCAATTGGTGAGATGCTTCATGTCTCTCAGTAATTGGATCCCAGTGTCTGTGTGTGTGTGAGAGAGCTACAGAGACAAAATATGTGTGTATCTTTAGACAAGCAGCACTGTTCTGCATTCACAGAACTGTACGAGTCATAACTCGTGGACCCTGAGTGACAGGTCAGAGCGCAGGTGCAACTACGAGACATACTTTGAAACAAATATAATGCGATTCAGATTTTATATTCAGCTTCTGAATAGATGTACTTTCTCTTCGGAATTCTTTCTTATAGGAACATATATATTTATATAAACATGGACTGTTTAGGGGAATAATTAATGAATAAATGAATGAATTATGAATACATTTAAATAAGAAAGGATGGGAGAACGTAAGAATGGAAGAAAGAAGCAAACAAAACTAGGAACAAACAGCAGAGGGAAGGTGGTAGAGAAGGAAAAGCAAAAAAGCAAGACAGAGAAAGGAAAAACAAGAATCCACATGGGCTGTGCAGACTATCTGGGGACACTTGGGATTTGAGGAGAAGACTCCTTTTTTTTTTTTTTCACTCACTTTTGTGACACGTAATTGAAAGCATTGTGTGTGTGCATGTGTGTACATGAATAAGATAAATAAAAACCTGCCGAAAGAGCATTATAGTACATAAATACATTATAGTAAAACATCTTATTTCTATGTTTGTGATTTTTCAATGATTCTACTTCTACTGAGTGTGTCAGAGAAGCTCGGGGAAAAAAGAAATGAATCATGTTGTGCCTGAGAGGGTGTGTGAGTCTCCATTAGCCCACATTCCTACATGTGCTGTAAACACTAGGCACAGGTTAACACAGTTTAAAGTTATAAATAGGTTCCATTATTCAGAAATTATCCTTCAGTGTGTCAATGCAAAACTAAAGAAGGAACCCTGGAACCCTTTATTTTTGTCTATTTTCTAATTTCCACTTTATATAAACCAACTATCCCTCCCCACAGAGACATGGCTATTTTCAGAGGACGCTCTATCGCTTCCCTCTCATATACAGTCAGCTTTATGATGGGAAAACTTCCAACTTCTCAAAGACTGTAAGACAACAATTCCGTCTCATTTCCAAATATGGTCACAAGAACTCATTTCTGTCATACACTTGGAGAAACAACTTGAAATATCCGTCCGTATGGAAAAAAACTAGAAGAGGTGTGTTTTCTTATTCATCTTTGTTGTTGATTTATTTCTGATGGGTATATTTTTTAATTTAACTTTTGTATGAAATGTGTCCCTTTGTTTCATTGTTTGCTGATCTGACTAAGCTGTATATTAAAAACAATAATAAAAAAAAAATGACGGTAACACAATGTGAAAATCAGGACCCACAATCTCAATTAGTTTATTCTAAAAAGAGTTTTCATCACGTTCCATACCACGTCTTCATATCTGTAAAGCAGATAAATATGTTACAGTTTCCCTTTTTGCATTTCATTCTGACAAAGTAAGCCAAAAGTGTCAATATTTACAGTACATCAGGTAATCCAAAAATAATACAAGGCGTTTTCTCCCTTTTAACAGTCAATTACTTACATTACCCAAAGACTCCTTGTCAAAGGAAAGGTGGAGGGATGCTTTTAGTTTGTTGTTTTCTTTATTCATTTATGTCTTGTATTTATTTCTGTGACTTAAACCTCTTCATCATACGTAGCTGTCTGCTGCTGTCAGTCACACTGTCGCGATCTTGCGTCTGGGTTGCTGTCATGGTGTCTTGATTTCTGAGCATTTGAAATCACAGTGTCACACCAGGGACAGAGAGTGGGTAGAATACAACAGAGGCTTGTCCTTTTTTCTTAGTATTTGTGTACGACAGATGACATACAGCATACAGTAGCACACAGAAGCTATGAGGCTGGCAAATGCTGCCACTGTAACAGGCTAAATGTATATTTCCCCTCAGTAGACACTCATACTTGCATTTCAGACCCTTAAAAATGATTTGTTAATACGTATTTATCCCATACAGTTCTACTCCTCTCCACCTTTTATCATTTAAATTATTGCTTTGATAAGCAGTCAGTGATTATCACATTAACTCTGTGTCCTCGGAATCCACTCTTAATAAAAGACTAAGGTACTGTTACAGTATACGCAGATTTACAGTTATTCTACAACGCTCATACTGTTTATATATTTCTAATTTCTCACTGACATACTGTTGATCAGTCACAATACAAAAAGACTGATTGTTGGAATGACATTCGCGTTATTGTGGATGCTCCAAACCTACAATTCCAAAATCAAAAGTCCTGAGAGGAAAATGCAGTGTGACCCATGGGTGAGGAATTGATTAGAAATTGTATCGTTATTAGTCAAATGCATTTAAGACGAGCTCTAATTCCCTGTAATTCCCTGTGAACAGACTCGTGGCGTTGCGTGTCTTAAGTTTCCACCACAAGTTTTCAGCATCACTGGGTCCAAAGGTTAAGGTGATGTGAAAACATGCCAAAGAGTTATTCATGTAATGAAGTTTGCTGAAAGAGGGAGGAACAACTGTGAGACAAAAAACTGCTTGTGCACATGTAAAGCATATGTCAAAAATAAACCCAAGTGTGGTTTTTCACGAGGTTCTGTCGAAATTGGCCACTCGGTCTGATCCGAGTGAAAAAAGAAACCAAAAGGAGATTTGCTGCGATCAACCATATACCAGTGGCAGGCCTACATCATCACTAGTGTTGTGAATATTACATCTTATCACTATGTTACAGTGGGTACCCGTGCCTTCAGCGGGGCTTTGTCTCTGTCTCAGTGTCTGTAAACCACATTGGCCGTGTTGAATGAGAATCCTCCAGACTGGCTGGCATGTAGTCTATAGGCTCGTCCTCCTTTCACTCGTTGATTCCCCGCTCACATATCTGAAGACAGCAGCTCTTCCATGGCTCCTAGAGATGTATTGTGACAGGGGATGAGGGAAAGGGCTGCCAAATGGATCCAGGGACGAGCTAAGAGAAGTTTCCAAAAGAGGCTGCAGAGGGAGAGAGGGAAGAGAAGGGAGGGGAGGGGGATACATAATTAGGATTCCCATGGATAGAAAAAGCAGAGGTTAAAGAGCAGAAATGCTCTCACATTATCTCCTGTTGTAAGTCTGCCCGTCTCTGCCTTGGAAACATATTAGTCTCATCTAAAGAGCCTTTTTGAAGCACAAGTATGGTGCTCATAACCCTCCTGAATCTGTATGTGACACCTTACTCTCCCAGACTCTACTGAATTATCAAGTGTGGCTGGCCCCTCTTCGTGTAACCCGCAGCCCTCAATCACAGAGTACCAACCTCTTTAACAACCAATAATTTACTATGGAACACTGGTTGACTGGATAAATGAGAGAATAATGGTAGTGCTTGAAGATTGCTGCAATGTTGCTAATGCAGGTAGACAGAAGGACACTAAAATAGTGACATACAAAGAGAAAACATGAAAATATCTTATGGTGTTTACAGACGGATTCTAGTCTACAGTACAGGACAGGTGTACAGCTTGATTTATAATATACACAAAGAACATATAATATAGCTTTACAACAAAAGGAAGAAATTATGGCATTAAGCTAATCAGCTGGTAATAATAAGCCTTTTTCTCAACGTCATTATCTATTTTTCTCTCTCTCGAAACAACAGATGCGACCAGGTGGTTTCCCTGACAACTAGCCAGTTTGTTCCATCCTGAAATGACACCAAGTGTCATTGGGAAGGCAGACTTTCCTCTCCCAGACTGTTGGCATTTCAGCTCTAAGCCCCCCTCTCCTGATAGCCGAGGAAGACGCGCCACCTGTCTCTAGACACAGACAGATGTAACGTGGCACTGGAGTGAACCTGAACTAGGAAACGATAGACAGAGAGAGGCAGAAGGATGGAGAGGCATTGATATGACTTGAGGCTTGCACAGACACTGAGAAAACCACTTCTCTGATAGAAATCCTTTTAAATGAGCTCCCAATGGAGTCGTCAGAGCCTAGGTGCAGCAAAGGAGAAGAGGCGGAAGCGAAGAGGAGGGGGGGGGGGGCAGCAACTGGGCAAAATTTGTGCTGAGGAGAACTGACATGTTCCTCCTTTTCCTCTGTCTGTCACGCACAGAGTTTCATTCATATTCTAATTCAGAGCTACAGTGGAGCTCTGCGTAAAGACCTGCAAGGATGGGCAGCATCACAGAAGCGTTTCAGTGGAATGAGGTTAGCAAGAGAGTCTCCCACGGCAACCAAGGTGCTGCCGACAACACATCTTTTGAGGTGGCGTAAGGGTCAAGGCTTGCATTGGGGTTATTCACAACTTTATCCTGTTTCAGCTAATTACAGCTGAGAGTCTGAAACATGGCAGATGGCTACACGCAAAGGCATAGACCGACTTTGATGAAAATTTTATGTGTTGAGAAGTAAGGAGGGACTGACAATTTATTATAAAGATATACCAACAACCAAGAAGGAGGGCAGATCCCCCACTGGGCTTTGATCTGAATCCTCCCTCCCAAAGCTTTCCAGATGTTACAGCAACCCCTGCACGGTTCACACTACCCTGAGAGAGCTGTGGCTCTGGGCTGTGGAAGACATCTCCTTACCTTTCACTGACTGACTGATATAACACAGCCTCGCCTGCTAAAAATACATGAAATACTGTAAGTGTCTAGAAAATACAAATACAATTTTGACGCACAAAAGGAAATAGCTTTCCCAACCATGAAAGGGTTATGTGCAAGAGAAAACATAAGCAATAGTCAAGGTTGAAGTGGTTGAGGGGCCTACAGTATGTACATTTGCATCCAACTTTGATGCTCTGATTTGAATTGCGACACTGCATTATTTTTCAACTGCAACTTCAAAATTCGACAAAGTTTTGTTTTTTTATAACAATGACCTGAAACTTTGCCCTTAAAAGTGATTCTAATGCAAAAATGTTTTCCGTTTCAAACACTCACTCCCTATAGACTCAAAAGGTGACTGTTGTTGGAGTTAGAATTTATTCCGAAAGTAAGTTAAACTGCATCCCAGTATTGACATTTTTTTCCAAAGATATTACAGTGACTATGCTCCGTGAAGGATTAATATGAGGAATAAGTAACTACTCTCTTCACTCACCATTTCTATTAAGATCTAAAAATGGCATGTCCAATTTGTGATAGTCACATTATCCCTCAGTTGTGGAGGCACTTCATTTCCCTCTATACTGTCTACAACAAATAAGCCTTGATTCAGAGTTTGTGCTCATTTCATAAAATTGTTTGCTGTATGCTGTCTCCCATTCTTCAAATGCACAAAACATCGGATAGTGTCATATGCCATGCTGTGTGTTGTGTAAAACATAAAATTCGTAAAAGCGTGGTTCCATTCATGTACTGAATGGTAGTTTAAAAGAAATAGAAAAGCCAGGGAGAAATATCCAGCAGACAAACGTCCTCAGAAGTGATCTGATAAAATAAATGTACAAAACGTCTCTGTTCACTGAGGAAGAAAAGAAAAGTGGCACTTAGCTGTTACAGAGAACAAAACACATTTAAGTTAACCTTAAAGGTCATGATTTAGTATTGCACTTCCATAAAGTCGGTGGACGTGTGAGAGACGAGAGAAGCTTCAGAAAATGCTGGATTTTACAGTTCCCACACAATGGAATCTTTCCCTTTCCACATCTCCAGTTTGCAATGCAGGTTTTCTGTCAAATATTTTAAGTCTCAATCCTAATGACAGAAAACTCAGAGGACATCATGAGGCTTATTTTGTCAAACTTTAGAAATCTCCCTCCAGAGTCATGTCAGACATTATACAACAGTTTCGACAAGCTGAGTAGTCATGATCTTTATGTATAAAATCAGTGGAGTGCCCCTTTAACACAAATTTAATTCTCTTGTTAAATCCGTCTCCTAAAATCATTCCATTTAATAATCAAAACATCAGTAAAACACAGAGATCAATTACTCAGTACACCTTTCCAGCACATTTTCTACGGAGTCCATGCAAGAAACAGACACATGCTTTTTTTAGAACTCTACTCTCATTTTTTCCTTGGTTATTGTGTGGAGAACAACATTTTCAACAATAATTTGCAACAGAAGCAATGTGATTCTATGTTGAGTGTGAAATGCTATTATAGCGCTTTGAGCAAGTGAGCCTGCTACAGACAGATTACCATGGAGCGGAAAGTAGGGCCCCACAGCCAGGGAACGAAAGAGCTATCAGACCAAGCTCTCGTTCACTATCCATGTTCCTTCATTAACCTCTTTACCCATCTCATTTCTTTATCTCCACGATCTGTCGATTTCATCCCCTGTATATTCCCCCTATCTTCTAACATCTAACCTTCAATCTCAGCTCTGCGCCCTTTTGTTCTTATTGCCCCGCTATTCTTCCTTTTCTTCTCTCTCCATTTTCAAATCTTATCCTTCAGGTGTTTCTGTGTTCTTTTTTTTATCCTTTTAATTTGTAATTTATTTATAAAAGGAATTGGAGACACTGAGAGAGCACTTATTGCTTGTAAAGGTTTAAGAAATCACTAACGAGAGCATTTCACAAAGCTCTTGATACAAATACTCTAGGCTTGTCAGGGTTGTGTTAAATCGTGCTATCATGGCTCCGACCAAAAAAATCACATTTGAGCTTATTCGTATTTTCATCCTCTTTTCAACATTTATTGTGAGATCAATATTTAATTTTTGGTAAATCCATTGGAGATGAATCAGACCTGACAGGCGGTATGACACAAGGCTTCACTAAATCACACCAGAATTGTAAGTGTATTGGGAGAATCGCTCAGGGAGAATAGCTGTTAGGTTGAGTGGGGCACAGTGTGAACCAAGACAGCCTGCGCTCAGCTTCTTGAAGATGAGCTTGAGAGCAAATCCTGCAGGTGCATCGGCTGCTGTGCGAGAAGTCTGGCTCTTTCTTTCTCACCTCCAGCCCCCATCCTTCCATTCCACCATCACTGTGCCTCTCCACACATATATATCACCTACAATTTGATAGTCAAACATCAGAATATTTTCCCTCCTTCCCATACCAGTGTGTGAGTGCAAGAGTCTAGTAGCTCTGTGAGGCTGCACATGCTCACAAAGCCAATGTCCACTACTATTCACCCTGTGGAGAACATTTATGTATGCACCAAATTCAATGGCAATCCATCCAAAATGTGAGACATTTCACTCAAAACCACAAACTTGCATGAGCTGTTTAGAAAAAAAAATGTGTTAGAGTCATTCATTTTGTATAGATGTCATTCATTTAAGTTGTTAGAAAGTAAAGTTTGAGATGGAGACACTTGGGTCAGCCTGATGGTTGCGTGAAAAGTGTCAGTTGTCATCTCTACATATTGACAGGAGTGACATTTTATGGAGCAGTTTTTTTTAATGTTCCGGTCCACACTCAGACCTTCATCACCTCTGGCCTCATCTATCACCTTATCACCATCTCATCACACATCTCATTTCATTGTCAGCAGTGAAACCGCTATTATCACCCCTTCAGACGCCTCCCACACTGTCCTACCTTTATCACCTCTGAATACCCTCCAACCCTGTGAACCCCAGGTGTTTTATGAGGCCACCAAATTAGCTTGCCCTTATAGCTTAGAGTCAGTGCCTGCTGAACTGGCAAATTACATTTGCATTACTCTATTAATAGAAGTGTCCAACAGCAATTTAATTATTTCTCCTTACCAGTCAATTGCATTCCATCTTTCATTTTAATTTAATTCAATTCAACATGCTCGATTGGCATGTATGTAATAAAAAACAATTCACGCTAAGTGAGGAATGAGATAAAATCATAAGAAAGAAATAATAAATTAGTGAGTTTGGGTGTCCTGGTAATCCACTGTGACATCCCTGGTTTGAGTATGGACAGGGACAAAAAAACAAATTTTTCCTTAATTTTATTTACTGTGAATATTGAATCAGAGGTGAGTTTTTGTAATATTTTTATAATCATATTAATATGTTTTAATTTGTAACAATCATATACACTTAATTGGCTACTTGTTTTTGTTTTAAAAAATTGGGGTTTTCTTCTCCCTGACACTTGGTCATTGTTCTATTAGCTCTCTCGCTGTTTTAACTGCATACTTTTCTAATGCAAGACAAGGCTGTTGAGCAAAGAGTAAAGTCTCTTTGAATATAGCTTGTGTTTGGTCTTTACTGTGCCCTTATCCTGTGAGATGTTTGAGTTTATATATATTATTATTATTTATAATAGTAATCTTTACTTTAAAAATAACAAATAACACATATCTAAGTTTTCTTACACCACCTAAATCAACAAGGCCTTGCAGCTTTGGTGACCCCTAGTGGGAGTCGGAACCCTGTTGGTTGGGAACCAGTGAACTAAAAAGTCAGTTCAAGAAGAGAAGTTTAGTTTACATAGCAGTGCTGATCTTCTGTTTCATCACCAGCTCAATGTAAAGATTGTTTGATTTGTGCCGCCCATAAGTTGTTATTTACCTGAATACAGAAATAAGATTTTGTGCTATTCAGTGACATCAGATTAATTTATTATATTTCAAATGCCACCTCACAGTCAGGAGTCAATTTATATGACTTGTTTATAGATCACAGGTTTGCAGACTCCTTATCTTTTATATCACATCTACCTCTCTCACACACTCACTTTTCATATTGCTGTGGGATTGTGGAGCTCTAACAGGATCTGTGGCTCAGATACGCAGTTGATGTGTCTACAAAGAACACATTCAGGTCCCAAAGGTGGGTCAAAAGACAGATTAAAATGGGCATCAAACCCAGAGTTATTTATATCATCTCTGCCAAGCACTTACCTCAAAGCAGACTGTAGTGAGAAGGAAAAGCAGGAAAAAAACAGTAACGGCATGATCAGAAAGTGAGAGTGAGCTTGTCAGATTGCAAAGCCCACTTCATTTACTTATTTGAATGTAGCTGGTGATTGTAAGAGCCCTTTCACCATCAGCTCATAATGATCAGTTGATGGAATAAACAACTTCACTGCTCTGCCTGAACTAACATAGTAGTCTTTTTTTGGTCAGACACACTTATGTCAAGAGAGACTGGACCATTTAAAGCAAATGGTTATGCAGTTACTTTTTTTTTCTTTTTGCAGAAAATATTCTGCTCTTCAAGATGCTCCATAAATAATAGGAAACAGGTAAAACCTCCAGACATTTTCAGCTCTTTGTTTGAGTACTGAATTACTAGGGAGCATACTGGAAAGAGCTAAAGCAACAAGCATGGTGCAATTCCCTGCAAGTGCTGCAGATCCCCTCTCATTCGAGACATGAGCTTAGCCAGGATGCTGCTGCTGAATGTAGGTCATGATCTTAAAGATTAGGGTGCCCAAAGGAAAACCTGAAGGTGTTCAGTGCATTTGGCCCGCAATACAAAACCATGAAAAATGAAAACATTAAATATGCCTTTCTTACAGTCTAATAACATTAGAGTTAAAACAATCTATTTGCAACACATGAACTTGGGGGCTACTTCCGATCGATAGTTACCTATCCAGGTACCTACAGGGAACATTCCGTTGCAAAACTGGAAGATTTAAACAATCTCCACTTTTGAAATCCAGTTCTAGAGAAAGGAAATTGTTTCACTTTGATGACTCGTAGCCATCAATGAACACAGAAAAACAAGCACCGCAGCAGCCAAAACAGGCTTGCAAGACAGCGTCAAACTGCTGAATACAGGTCACTGAGGCAGTTTATTGATGGCTGAATAATGAAAGTGTTTACTGAAGCCATCATTCAGAGGCAGGGCAGCAAATCAAGAGCCCCCATCAATAAAACCACACAGAGCCACAAAAAAATTGCACTTGGATGTCCAACTCCACGTATGTCACAGCGGGCATGCATGGTCTCAGACCGCCTCCTTACAATTTAGCCAAACCCAACTGCTTTCCACTTGTTTGTCACTTTCTATATCATTCCCCCTCTCACAAAAACACAGTTACTCAAAGAGATACACAGAGACATGGTTTCTCACACACACTTGTTACTTACTTCTACTAAGGAGCTGCAGGTTACGGACCTCTTCTCTGACCTGCAGCTGGAGGACTTGTTGGAGGACCTCCTGCCTCAGCGTTTCCTGGACGATTCCCATCCTCTCAAGCTTCTCCCCATTCAAACGCAGCAACGCCCGTCCTGCAAAGAGGAGTAATTTAGAAAAATAGACATCTTTCCACACAATTATTATTACCAATTACAGAGCTGATTAATTTACCCCATGTATATTTGTCATTTCAGTGAACCAGATGGCAAAATACTTTCCTAAAGAACAGCCCACTGTGAAACAGCAGTTGGCAAACTGCCTTCAATTCGCTCTATACACTGGATGCAGGATTAAATTTACCTTGGGTGTTAACCTACAATACAGATGCAGTTGCATTCCAAATAGATTAAATTCCCTAGTGTTATTATAAAATATTTTCTCATCACCATTCATCCCCTCTTAATACTAATTCTGTATGTAAGGGCTACATGCACCCTACCATCCTCCTCCAAAAAATAAAAGTCTCCAGGATGAAAACACGGCCATTTCTTTAAAGGGGTTTGCACAGTCTTCCTATATGCATGTGGATTTCCTCCCATACTTCAAGCACTTGCATTTCAGACTTTCCAGACTTCTGTATGAATGTGAGGGCTAGCAGTATTTATTACAGGTTGTGAGAATGCGTTTATAATTGTGATGTTTGACACTTTCCGTGCAAATATTTATGCTGTAGATTCACTATCTCATTTCCAGGAGTAAGGTGTTTATTTCCTTGTTAGTACTGTAGCCTTCCAGTCAGTAGCAGTAAAAAGGCTGGCATGGGGAGGATTGCTCAGGCTGGCTGTTTCCTGTGGCTGAGTTTTACTACAGAGTTTAGCAGTTAACCCCGGGGACACACACATTTAACATACCATTACCCACAGTAAACAGCTTTTACAACCGAGTTGCACTCAGACAAACACAAAGGCAATATGAAAAAGTTGGACATGCATGTGCCTTAATAAAGGCACACACACACACACAAGTTACTATGGGTAAGGGAGCTATGTCCTTCAATGGTGCAGACAGAAGAGGAATCCATCATACCTGCAGCGGCTCTGTACGATGCCCAAATCATAATTAGACTCATTACTCATGCCGCTCACTCTCCATTTCATTCAGTTCATTCCCATTTCCTTCCACTGGACAACAGTACATCTTCTGTATCTCTATCTTTCTCTCTGTTTCAGTGCAGTATCTGTGCATTATGAATGTACTGCAGAGGAAAAGTCCTCCAAGTCATGTATGCATGTATGTACAGTATAAACGTACCTCATACACATATTAAACCATGTCTTTATCTCAGTTTAGATAACACAATCACTAAACCATGTTTGTTGTTCCTTTATTTATCCACAGCAGCTAATAAGCATGTCTGTCGGAAGAGCGCAACAAAAGAGATGAAAGAAGAAAACAGAACAAAGGAGAAGAAGAGAAAATCAGTAAATAAAAGGAGAATAACAGTCCTTGGTCCTTTGTCCCTTTTCTAAGCACATGAAATATAAATATCCTTAATAGAGAGTCAGTAGTCATATTTCATAAAACAGGCCATAGGGTGGGGAACAGATTTGTGTGATAGACTGAAGCAGAGCTGTTGTGATCCTCAGTGGACCCAGGCCTGGGTTAAGTGCCTCTAAAACCATCTGTAATAACTAATGAAACTTCCCCCTAAGCCATAGTATTCACCTCAAGCAATGCATCAGTCACTTGCCCATGTCCCCTAAAACCGATACATATGGTGTGTCGTCTGATCACATCATGAGACAAAAAGTGTTCATAGGCAGGGTGAAAAAACTTCTGTCATAGAGAAAAACAAGACTATTGTTGAATATGGTGATAACGGAGAGAGAGTCTCTCCTGCAAGGCATTCATAGTGTTGCATTCGGTTGTACATCTGAAAATTGACAGAAATAATTATGTAAAGAATGAAAAAAGAAAGCTTGAGAAAGACGTTCAAATCCTTCCAACTTCTAAGCTCCACACAGACAAAGTTACAGAAATTGTTGGACAAGCTCTTCAACCATCACACAAGCACTTCTGTTGATGTATACTGGCCCCTTAACACTTTCATATTCCACTAATAGAACCTTCCACCATCAGTTTATGAGGCTGGACTTCAGATAGACTAGACAGTCTTCCCATGATTTCAAATGTATGACTCAGTTGACTCATCTGCTGACCGATGCACTCTCACAAATCAAACTGCAGCTCTGTCTATTGCAATCTTCATTTTCTTCTTTTATGTAACTACTACTGCGCATATAGCTGCATGTACCCTCTGGAGGTAAACTAAAATAAGATTTCAGCTTGAAAAAATACATTTGCTAAAAGTATTGAACGTTTAGAAAATTCAGTATTGAATAATAGAATTGTATAGTACTTCAGGTAAAAGTAACATTTTTGGTTCTGATGACGGCACAGGTTTGTACTTTGACCAGTTTCCTCTGTCCACAGGGGCACAACATTGAGGAAACGCTTTTGTTCAAAAAGCTTTGTAGGCAGCAAACAGACTTCTGAACATTATATCAGAAAGCAGCAATAATTATGATAAACTCTTTGAGATATGCTATATAGCTCTCACTAGAGATATAGGCTAGCCAAATGAGGACAGAACTATCAGCCATGCCTTTTACAATCAAATGGGCTGGAACAAAACAGACAATAGCTACCTCTACTGTGGGCAAGGCTCCACTCCCTGGGAGACAAAACCATGACAAACCAGTTAGCTTTCATCATGGTTTAATGGATATGTGTATGTGTGTGCACATGTGGTTTAAAGGCACATTATTTACTTTTCCTCAGAGTCCAGGTGCTCTCTCTTTCTAGCACATAGAGTGGAACAACTCATTTTATGAGAGCACAACTATCTTGGGGATAGAGCAACAATAAGTTACCATTTATTTTGTGTGGTTTCAGTAATTTTCTTTTGTACACACATACACACACACTCACACACTTCTGCATGCACACACTCTTCAACCTCTTCACTCCATCTCCCCTACAGCCCTCTTGTGCGTGCTTGCCAACAGCAGTACCAGTACGTCCTAGAAAAACCACTGCCCTTGGTCTGTGTGTGCATGTGTGTGTGTGTATACAAATGAGACAAAGCAGATGAATGGAGCTCAAATCAATTCCCCTCAGACAGACTTAATGCAGCTCCTAATAATTGCCTGCAGATAGGGAAAGTAGTGCTGTCAAAGGGAGAAAAGAGACACAAAAACAAAAGCTGTTTCAATAGAGATCGCTTTTCTCAATTTGGCTTCAAAATAAATTGCTTATTAACAATGTCTGTCGGCAAATGGGAAGCAGTTCTGCCTTGGCTAGGACAATAATGACACTTAAAACTGTCTGAAAAGCAATCCAAGAGAGAGGAAGGTAAAGACTTCCTTATAAAAGAACAACCTTTAGATTAAACCTTTGATAGTAGACCAATTCAGTCCATGTTGCCACTGAAGGCCTATACTGTATTACATTTCTTTCAGCGTGTATATACAGTAACAATAAAGTAAGTATGTAGCCCTGTAGCCACATTTACTATTCACTTTATTTCTCTTTTAGTATATATATTGTATATACTGTATGTTCTTTCTTCACCTCCATCCTATCTGCCTCATCTGCAGTTCACTCTTGGTTTAAAATTGTGACCTACATTGGGATATATTACCTTTATAAGGAAAACAGAATATTACTGTGAGGTGTAAATTCCTGCATCAGCAACTAGAATGCAACCCAGTCAGCAAGACCACACCTGGAGATGGTCTAGCTTTGCTTTTTTGATCAGATATCATCCTGTAAATGCAACCTATACTGCTTGCCGTTACGAGAAAGTATCTGCACATGAGCTTAGGACAGCAGGTGACAGCATATTGACTTTCTGACAGCTGAAGTCTTCGAACCTGCTGACCTACAGCCAATTTGCAATTTCTTATCACAGTGGGGACAGAATGTAGACCAAAAAAAATGCACAGATTAAAAACACCTGGTGTGAATGCAAGGTGCATGATCATTATTCTGGGAACTCATCACATTAGAGATCATTATTGGTGAAAACAAGGCCCCTGTCACTAAATCACATGCCCACCATGGCACCATGTTCACTGCCAAGCAATTTACAATCTGCCAATACTGAGACTAATCTGAGCCATTACTACTCTACAGGAGTGGTGGAGGTTGTATTCAGATCCTTTACTTAAACCGATACTGTGTAACTTGTGAATGAAGAAATAGGATACTAATTCTTTCACAAATGAAAAGTTGCAGTCATAAGCAATAAAACACACTTTTGCTCAATTCAATTCACTCAGGGGTTTTGCTGCTACATCCTTACTTGGTCTCATAAGACATAGCTTATGGTGACTAATGTTAGCAGACTTTGGCTATACGGTGGTTGCCTTGTAATGACATCAGTGCTGTGTGCTGTGTAATATTACTAAGTTAGTTCTTTATGAATCTTCTTTATTTGATCACTGAAAATAAACACCACAGTGTAATAATGCATCCTCACAAATCAAAATTCTGCATTCAAAACATTCTGTAAAAGTACGTATTATGTTGAATACCCCCTTTCAGGTACAAACTACTACACTTATGATTTACTACTAATATAATGCTTCATCAGGCTCGCTTTTCAACTAGAAGAATCACAGGCGTGATACAGGGGACTTCATCACAAGCTGCACATACACTACTGTGAGGTGGAACAGAATTCAAATTACATTGCACACTTAGTCAGACTGGCTGCTTTTGACCAGCACCCACATTAATTATCTACATCTTATGTACCATTACTAGCAATATAAGAGATGAAAACAGACACAACAGTCATGATAACATGAATACAAGTGGGACAAAATATGAAAGCATGAATCTTTGCACACAATTAAGATGCAAGGAACACAGAAGAAGCTGCACTGATCTCCTCAGGCAGCTTGTTCCATTGTAATGGTGCCCTTACTAAGAGACTAAGAGAGATACAATTACTTTTGGGTCACTGAACTGAGATGACACAGAATCCATTTCTCTCCTTCTGTGTATGGAAAACACAGAGGATTTGTATGTAGAAGATGTATTGATGTGATTCTTTGATACTGACCTTATGTATCAACAACAAAAAGACATATTCACTCAACATTTGCACAAGAAAACACAGGGGCTAATAACCTAAGCAAAATGGAATCCAGCTGGACATTAGCAAGTGAATACATAAGGATAATTGGATCCCTCTCTCCCTTTTCTCTGTTTGAGAATACATAAATAAAAATGATCAGATCAGAGCTGCTGTAACTATGACGGCGGCAGCATTGTTAACCCTGAAGCCAGTGTGTATGTTTGTGCCTTTGTGTGTGTGTGTGTGCATGCAAATGTAAGTGAGTGGTGGCTGACCCTAAGGCACAGAACAGCAATCTGTTCTCTGTGAGGAACTAAAAAAGAAACTGTTCTACCGTCTGGTCTGTCAGGGCTGGGGATGTGTGCAGATAAATGAGTGTCTTTCGCCACATTTGTATGCACCTGCTCATGTGTGTCTATTGGTGTTGTGGTCTGTGTGTATATGCCCTTGCATGCATTTGGGTGGGCTTGCTAACAAATAAATGTGTGTGAATGTGGGTGGGGGTGTTGTTTGAACTTGAAATACGATAACCCACCATTTCCATTTTTCTTCCCGCAGCTTTCCCTTTCTTCTCCAAAAATAGGCTGCACTCCTTTCGTTACCTCACATGAATGCCTTTTAAATCTCCTTTGCAGAGATTTGGGTGTAAACCTGTTTCCAGTTGAAAAAGCTAAGCTGTGGAACCACAAACCTAAAAATAAAACTTATGTGACATTTGGTAAGCCTTTTATGGTATTGGTTTGCAATGTCTTAGTCTATGGAAGCATTGCTGCTGTGCTTATTAGAAGGAGCAGAAGTCAGTTAAAAAGGTTTGAGGATATGACCAAGCAACAAACTCTACAATTAATTACTATCACTATTAATAGTTGCAAAGATGAAAATAAGCATACATCAACAACAATCACATATGGTTTCAGTAAGAAATCATGCATCTTCATGTGTGTACAATACCTGTGATGGCGTGATGGGAGAAGGCCTCTACATAGGTCAGGTAGTTGTGAGGACAGTGTTTCTTAAGCCACTTGCAGACATCCTGCTGAGTCCACAGCACCACAGGCTTAGACAGACTGGACAGCGTAGGACTCGTGTGATACACAGTGAAGGCTTCGCCCGGACGCAGCTAGAACACACAAGGAGCGGAAAACTTTATATTAGCCAATGCACTGTAGCATGTGTGCGTGGGTGCAGTATTAGCAAGACAGAGCCAGTGAGTGTGGGTGTATGTGTGCATTTGTGTTTTAATTTCCAGAGGTACTATATGATGTAAGTTGGAACATTGCTTTTATATTGCCCCCCCCCCCCCAAGATAATCACCCTGTAATTGCTCCAGCTTTCTTAAATATACAACATGCTGGATTTTCTCATTAATGTGAAATTAGCTGGGATGATGTGTTCTAATGCCATAGTTTGCAACAGAATCCCTTCTCGTAGTCTAGTAAATTACACATGTGCAAGAGTGCAAGTAAGTAATGTAATAGAAAGCAGCTTATTAAGGGTCTATACACTATTGTGTAGCCTGCAGTGTTTCATCTATCACAGGTACTAGACAGAAATGTACACGTTACCTTTAACCGCTTAAACATTTGAAAAAGTAATTTCACATAATGAGCTCAAATGTAACCCAAATTAAGAGCGAACATAAGGTTTAAAAGTTTGCAGGCGTAGAAGGACAAACAGATGCCAAATTAAAAGGAGCACCCAGTTTTTCACTTTCCAACCCTAATTTAGCAAGACAAATGTAAAGCTGCTATTTCTACTGCATCACCATATTTTCTCACATATTTCACACTTCTCTTCTCTGCCAACATTATGTCTTGATATGGTAATTACATTCCATATATTATTTCTACCAGCATGGGTTGTGTAGTATTGTGACTGGTATGGTCCTTTTTCCGGAGGTAATTTTTCCTGACAGCAGTGCCTTCATTATGCAGTCAACACCGAATTACTGTGATTCTGTCATCTTTATCTTTGGACTATGTGAGCACACATCTTTATTCCTCTCATACTCAATGTCTTTCTCTCGGCTTCTTCACACACCTTCCTCTGACCCTGAACGTTGTCAGACAGCTTTTCTTAGTGTGTCACGGCCATGTGCGGGGAATTAATATGGACATTAATAAAGTCACAACCAGTTCATATGGGCCAAAAACACAACCACTCCTTGTCCTCTCAGCTCCCTCTCTTGTGGGGCTCTCATATCTAATCCATTCATTCATGCTCTGACTGAGCCAACTCCACAACAAAGACTTTGGCTGATTTTCAATAGAAAACACAGAACTGCTGCCAAACGTTCCACTCCATAACTGACTGTATTTAATAGGATTATGTATGCTGAAATGTCATACACACAAATGCAACTTAAACACACTCTTGTAGCTCAATATCCAATGTTCTTGCTTTCTTGTTAATGACCCAAAGACTAGCTCCCAGAACACCTTCACATCTCAATATGTGATAGACACAGGTTTATAACTATTTACATATTTTCCTGCTGCTGTAATGAGATCTCCTCCTGTCAATTTAAGCACCAATCAGCCCTATCAAGTTCTGGCTGGTCCAGCAGCTAAGTGTGTTCTGCTTTGTAGGTCTTAATTGAAAACAACTCCATTTCTCCGCTCCAGTGTGTTTGCTCGTTTCCTAATTACACACATACTTTCTAACCTGACTCAATGGAGCACTGAAGCCATTTTAATAACCCAAATTTACTGTTCTCCCCCCCCATCATTAATTGTGATTGAGTTGGGAGAGGTGTGAAAATGCTCTCTCTTGTGGATGATTGAGTGTGGACAAGAGAGGATAAAAATGCTCCCTCATCTTCGGATAGTCATAATGTGTTCCTGCAGTGAAACTGCAATCCCGCTGATTTAGTCCCTATCGTCTCTACAATCCTCATATTTGCATAGGTGAGTTAATATTGTAGAGTGTGGAGGCAGAAAATGCCCGGACAATCATTAAGTATGGTAAATTTAACAAGACAAATAGAACTTTGTCTACGTCAAGTCAAAGGCAACAGAACCTGAACCCTGTTTGGTATTTTGATGCACAGTTTACAGCATGAATTAAGTTAAAGCTAAAGCAATCTCACTTTCAAATATTGTTTCTTAAAGGAATAGAAGTAAGACATTTGGGGAAGACATTTGGGGAAAATATGCTTTCTTGATGAGAGTTAGATGAGGAGGTCGACCGCTCGAAGCAAGGAAACTAGGTAGACTGGCTAGATGTGGGCAGTCTTTATGATAAGCTAAACTGACCGACTGCTAGCTGTAGAGTCACATTTACTGTACAGACATGAACGTTTTTTAAATGTGAAACTAACTAAAAAATATGTCTCCATAGTATGTGAGAATGCTTTAGATAGGTGGAGGTAATAGGTATGTTGGTGATAAGGTTTCGTGTAGTTTTTTGCTTTTCAATGCTTATCATTTGTGTAGTTTAACAAGACATATGCATATTCTAAATATATAATAGGTCACATCTGAAGCAGGGACTGTGACATTGAATTGAAGATGATGCATTACATAACAATCAGTAAAATGAGGTTAAAATTATGTGATTGGAAATTTTTCAAAGGAGAGAGTAATTAACCGTGCGGCAAGTACCTCAAGTCACTGATAGAAGAGCAAAGAACGGTACTGAAAGCTTTTCTCGATGGCAAAGACATCTTCTTCTGACTGGCTATGAGTTGAGCTGAAGTTCGCCCACAATAGACAGGGATGGACAGATCCAATATCCTACCAAGTATATTTTTAAATTACATTAAATTAAATATTTAAAAAAAAAAAATTATTTCCAACGACAGCCTCCCAGGTGGTTCTGTGTAACAAACCTATTGTCTATATGGCACTTTTGGTGTGTGCCATGTGTCACTTGACATGTGCTGCCTACTTAACGTGTCACATCACCCATTTTCCTGGGTGTTTTTCTAGCATTTTCCCCTTCCCTGTGTTTCCAGTTCTCCCCTGTCTGTCTTTGTGTATGTTTGTGCATGTGGTCTCCCTTCCTGGCTCCTGGCTCTGAACACCTGTCTGCAATAGCTCATCACCACTCCCAGCTGGCTTACCTGCCTCGCATCAGCTCGTCAGTTTGCACTAGTTCAACCCCAGCTCTACACACATCCTGCGCAAGATTGTTTTTTTTGTTCAACCACAGTGGTGGCCAATTCTCTTCATTTTTTTGTGCTTTAACCATTGTTTCTTTGTATCTCAGGATCCCGTTCTGCTTGCCTGCCCGCCACCAACTCTCCCTTGCATCCTCTGTCGGCCACACTGCCTTGCCATCCTCCATTCCACCTTTCCTTTGCCATAAACAGCCATCTATCAGCAACTACTGTGATTTTTCAATAAATGTGATAAACTTTGTCTGCCTCCTGATCTGTGTTCTGTGCCTGGGTCCACTTTTGGACTAAACACAACATTACTCTGTTGATGTATGTGGCGCATACGACATGAAAGGAGAGCAAGAGAAAATTTCCCTGCTGGCTCCACAACCTATGGCATTAAAACATAAATTAACACATCACAGATAGCGCAGTTAAAGATTCATAATAATCCAGTGACCTATATGTTTGAGTAAACACATTTTAAAAAATAGCGTATACATGGTATCGAAAGATAATCCAATAATCTGGAATAAAGTATCTTTAATAGTGACTAAACTATGGCTATGCATCATCACAGAAAAAGTACTTTAGATCTACCAAGCATCATTAAATCCGGGAAACAGATCCAGGTCTTTGTTATTTCATGACTCACATTTGTTGACATTTATTTAACTTTGCAGTATATGTCAAGAAAAACTGAATGAACAATACTGAAGACAAAGAAAGATGACAGACAGATAGAGAGAGTGAACAAAGACAGACAGAGAATGACAAAAAGAAAGTGAAGACAGTGTACAGGGAGTGGGGTTCTCTATGAGTGAGTAATGGCCTTCATCATCAAGAAGCCAGACAGAAAGAAAATGGAATGATAGCTCCCCATCATCCCTTCTTCTCTCTTCTTCCTCCCTTACTCTTCTTGCACCGTTCTTTGGCTATCCATCAGACTGTATCTCCTCTGGCCAGTTCTCTGCCGTCCCCGTTCACCCTTTACTACCTCCCCCACTCCTCTCGAGACCTACTTCTGTCCAGCGGGAGGAGCTCCCTCATTCATTACATACAGGAGAGGTAGGGGAAGATGGAGCTGTGGGGAAGGGGTGGCATAGGCAAAGTGGAGGCTGGATATGGAGCGGAAGTCTAATGAGAGGTGGAGGACAGAGAGGAGGGAGAGAAAGAGGGGGAAGGTAATGGATATGCAGCGATATGTTGTATTCAGCACCAAAATGACTGGAACAAAAAGCAACAGGCAAGCTTATTTAACTGCTCCTTAAATATTTTAGTGTGCCTCTTTTACCTAATATGTTTAATTATGTTGCAAAAAAATACCTTTAAAAACATAGTTCTGCATTTTGGGAAATATGCTTATTCGCTGTACAGTAAATATGAAGCTGCAGCCTGGTGCTTGTTTGCTTAGCTTAGCAAAAAGACTGGAAACAGGTGGAAAAAGCTAGCCGTGTTCTGTCTGAAGGTAATAAAAACTGCCTACCAGTATCTTGTTTGTTTAATCTGTACAAAAAAACGTCACCATGAGATAACCAGCGGAGACTCCAGGAGGTCACGGCACCCAGTAAAAGGAATATTTTGTACCTTGTGGCCACAACCAAGCTTGCTATTTCCTGCTTTTTATGCTAAGCTATAAGCTAATTGGCTTCATATTTAGTGTACAGACATGTGAGTGGTATCAATCTTGTCACGTACGTCTCTTATTGTCAAAATATATGCATGAATAGACAAGTTCTATCTCTACCTTATCCCCTATACTTCCTTATATCCTTTTCCCTTTCTACTCCCCATCCTCTCTTCTCTGCACTTCTCTATTGATCATTCTGTTTGTATCCTTGAACAGCTTATTTGTCCTTCCCTGCTTACTTTGTTCTATCATGTCTCTCACCCCCCCACTCTCTCTCTACTTGCTCCTCATAAATTTTATCCTCTTCCTGCCTGACATCCTCCCTCCTCCCTCCCTGTCTTCCCTTTCTCTTGTTTCCTCCCTTCGATCTTTCTTCTGCTTTGACTTCTGT